TGAGATGAGACTGTTACTTTTGTTATCAATACAATTATGCTACAAACAACATTTTAATCATTTTTTCCTCTCTGTGACATGGTAGAACACAAATATGAAATCGTTAAGAGGCTGCAAGAGAGGAAACACATTTGTGGAATGACAGGTGATGGTGTCAATGATGCCCCTGCATTAAAGAAAGCAGATATTGGAATTGCTGTTGCTGATGCTACAGATGCTGCTAGAAGTGCTTCTGACATTGTCCTTACGGAGCCTGGTCTCAGTGTCATTATCAGTGCAGTGCTCACCAGCAGGGCAATTTTCCAAAGGATGAAGAATTATACTGTTAGTTTCCTTGCATGCATGATTTAATTGCTCAACTTAATTTAACATCTTCAACAATCTAAACTTATGAATGTTGATCGTTGATTATGGCAGATCTATGCTGTGTCAATCACCATCCGTATAGTGGTAAGTGCAGAAATATGTTAACTCATACAAAAAAACATGTCAACATTTTTCATTTCTACATACTTATATATATACATGGTTCATATAATTTATGTGATCTATTTCCCTTTGTGGCAGTTTGGTTTCATGTTTATTGCATTGATTTGGAAATTTGATTTTGCACCCTTCATGGTGTTGATCATTGCCATACTAAACGATGGTAAGATAATATTCGTTTAGCCTTTATGCTATGCTGTGAAAATGTTAAATTTAATTTCCTTCACCCCTATACCTTAGGTACCATCATGACAATATCCAAGGATCGAGTGAAACCATCTCCACAGCCTGACAGCTGGAAGCTGAGGGAGATATTTGCCACTGGTGTTGTGCTAGGCAGTTACTTGGCACTAATGACAGTAGTATTTTTCTGGCTCATGAAGGATACCGACTTCTTCTCGGTAATAATTTATATTTCGTCTTTCCCCTCAATAGTATCATCAAATGGCGAAAAATTATAAGAGCCATAAGCACTACTTCCTCATTTGCAGGACAAGTTTGGTGTTCGGTCTATAAGGAATAGCCCTGAAGAAATGATGGCAGCCCTGTACCTACAAGTCAGTATTATAAGTCAAGCACTAATTTTTGTCACCAGGTCCCGAAGCTGGTCCTATGTTGAAAGACCCGGTCTTCTCCTACTGGGTGCTTTCATGATTGCACAGCTGGTAATCTTGAACCTCCTATTATCAACAACCTAGTACATATAGTTGTTTGTTAGTTTCTCTTCTGATTTGATGGTTGAAGTTGAAGACTTGAAGCAGTGTCAAGAACCTGGTCTCCATTATCTTGCCCTTGTTCCTCGCTCCACTCCACCATTAAAGAAATAATGTAAACTAATAAAAGAAAAATAGAAAGAAAAATAAATAATTCTTTTATAAATTAAAACTAGCTTATCTATGAATTAAAAATAAGATTTTTGAAAAGCTCTTACAAAATAATTTATGCATAAGAAATTTATTCTATTTTTTCTTCTTATTTTATTCTCTTGAAAGTATTTCTAGATAAATTTATTCAAACTGACCCATAGACTAAGATTTGAGAGCACAAGCATTGAAACGGAATTAGAATCAAGTCAATAGACTCAATACTTCTGTTGCCTTAGGAAACAATAGATATTGGCATGGTCGATTAATGAGTTGTTCTTTCAGCTAGCAACTTAAATGATTGATTAGTCAAAACTCAAAAGCCTTAGGCTTTCTTCTGTGGCAATATTAATTTGTTTCATGATTGACAGGTGGCAACTTTTCTAGCAGTATATGCTAGCTGGGGCTTCGCAAGAATTAAGGGAATGGGATGGGGTTGGGCTGGTGTAATCTGGCTCTACAGTTTAGTTACATATGTCCCTCTTGATATACTCAAATTTACAATCCGCTATGTTCTGAGTGGGAAGGCTTGGGATAATCTTTTGGAGAACAAGGTGATTTCTTCATCTCTATAATTATTTTGTTATTAATTGCATTGCTGATCCTAATCCAGAAAATTCAAAACCCGTTTATGACAGACTGCCTTCACTACAAAGAAAGATTATGGCAAAGAAGAGAGAGAAGCACAATGGGCAACTGCACAGAGAACTCTTCATGGCCTTCAGCCACCTGAAACAACCAACCTTTTCAATGACAAGAATAGCTACAGGGAGCTTTCAGAAATTGCTGAACAAGCCAAGAGACGTGCTGAGGTTGCAAGGTAAGCCATTGACTTCACTTCTATGGTGTGACATCAAGTTTAGGCCTAAGTGGAAAAGTTTCTCTCCATAAGCACAAGCACTTTTTAAGGAAAAAAATTGAAATAATTTTTTTCACAAACTAAAATTAGCTTATACACGAATAAAAAACAAGATTTTGAAAGGGTTAAGTTAACAGGGAAGCGTTTATGCAAAATTTATATTATTTTTTCTTTGAGTTAATCACTTATATACTACTAGTGTAAATTTTTTTTACACTGGTAACCAATTATATCTTTTAATTGTGTCATGTTACTGTTAAAAGTAAATGTGTTTACAGTGACATGACATAATTAAAAGATATAATTAGTTGTCAGTATAAAAAAACTTTACAATGGCAATGTATAGGTGATTAACTCATTTTCTTTCTTATTTTTCTCTCTCATAAGTATTTCTAGAAAAGTTTACTCACACATGTTCTTTGTGAAAGGATTCATGAAGTGGTAGGTTATAATATTGAGGGATGATTGAATAAATTATACGTTTGATATAGTGTCTTACAGAGATTTTTTTATTTTTTTTTTAAATTGGTTCACAGGCTCAGGGAGCTTCATACTCTGAAAGGACATGTTGAATCAGTGGTGAAGCTGAAGGGACTTGACATTGATACAATCCAACAGCATTATACAGTTTAAGGAGGAGGTTTGGACAACTTTCAAGCACGACACGCTTTGGTGCTTGTCCCATAACATAAACAGCAAATATAATGAAGACCTAAGTTAATCCGTCTTTAGATTAGGATGAAGGTCCTTTTGTGAAAATTTGATGGTTACTCTTCTATTCCATCTATGCCAGTAGCTGGAGGAGATGCCCTCTTTAGGTACCAAATAACAGCATGGTTCATAGGATTAATTGCGTCTTATTTTGGAATGTTAATGATATCATAGTCAGTTAACAGCTTTATATTTTTTCCTCGAACAAATCTCAATATATTTTCAATCCTGATTAGTTGCTCAATAATGAATTCAGTCTTCATGTCTTTTTTTTTTTTCATTCATTCTTGTCCGGCCTAAAACAAATGAGTGGGTGAAAGGGTACTTTGTAACTTTTTTAAAAAAAATAAATGAATGCTGTAAGGTTGAACAGCCACATATTGAGTTTCAGGAAGTTAATAAAATATATCATACTGCTCCTTATAATTGAATATTGATATACCTGAAAAACTCAAATTTCTAAGTCACTTATTTATGGCTCAGTCTGGTCTTACAGGCAGGCCAAATCAGTTTTTTTCATTTTATTTAAATTTTACAAAAATAAAAACAATATCAGATTAAATAACTAGTAGATTTTAACTTGGTCTGAACCGTCGAGTCAGGTCATTTTTTACGGCTCTAGTAAGAGATCATGTGCATTCAGCTGTGCTACTCTGAAATCAGGATAAGGAAAAGATCTCTGATACTGGCTTTTATAGAGATTCCCCTATTATGCCTCACCAGCTCTACGGCATTAGATGGTCCTCCATTACGTTTCCTTTTTCTTTTTCACGGTCTAAGTATATGTTCCTCCTGTCTGAAGCCATGTGAATGTTCAAATGGCATCCAGCCAAGTTTTTCAAGGTATTAAAATGTTATAATTTTTAGATGGAGGTGCCTAATCTTTCAAATACTGCAAAATTAGAAAGTAGTCATTAGGAATTAAAAAAAAAAAAAAAAGGCCCATAAAATGTAAACCACTTTCAAAACTTTTCTTTTCTTCCATGTTCTTCCAGAATTTTGGTGCTGGGCATAGGGCACTAACACATGTTGGTCGGCTTTCAGATATAAAGTGGCCCTCAACAATGATAATCATGTTGCGCTGCCTAGAGATAGAGATTCCATCGGAATAAAGTGATAATCGATGCCTATCCACTTTAAAGATTTTCACAATCGCAAGAGCATGTACAATGATGCATTCCGAATATGGTGCCTGCCAATTTTCTTTATGCTGATGAAGACACTTAGAATAATTTTGCACGAGTACAATCGATATAGACAATAAGGGGAGGTGTATTAGTTTAAGATTTTGTAGGATTTTAAAAGATTTTTTTTAGTAAAACAGTTCATTGGTATTTAATCAGGATTTTATGTCACTTAAAAACAATCCAGTAGTATTCAATCTAGATTTTCAAAATTTTTTAAAGAGTCTATTAAAATTTACTAGTATTCATTTGAAATTTTTTACAACTTAAAAATAATCAATTGATATTCAAAAATATAAGGATTTTAAAAGATTGTTGTATGAAAGGAATTTTGAAAGACTTTCTAGTATTATTTATAAATACCAGATTCATAATAATACCATCCAAACCCATCGAATTTTGAAAGATTGTTTGAAGTAATTTTTCAAGTGTTTCAAGAATTTTTAAGTGAATTTTTCATTTTTTTTATGCTCTTGTCTTTTCCATTTTTTCTCTACTAATAATATTACACTATTGTTCATTGCTCATATATAATATTGTAGTACTGTTCTTATATCATTCTCCTATTTTGTGAAACTCGATATGTAAATGACAGTATCATTAACTTGCTCTATTTTTCTGTTCGTTCTCTTTAATTGACTTGTTCTATTTTTCTATTCTGTCCTAAAATGCAACTAAGTTGTCCACTAAAGACGGATTTAGAGTACATAAAAACATATTTGAAGATTAAAAACAATTTGAAATTAATTTTATCAAAATCAAGCGATTCACCCGCAAGCATAGCAGTATTGCACTCTGGCATTTACTTCAAAATGAAGTATTATTTATTCTAGTAATCCCAAATTTAAATGATTAGGAGATGGAAATGATTTCATACGTAAAAAGAGAGAACATACATGAAACCAGATTACATATATATTGAATTATTAAGAGATGAATGATAACAGTTTGAATAGATGTAAACCTAGCCCTGTCGCACTAATGATACATGACACAGTAGGCAACGAAGCAACGAGGGGCAAAATACAAATGCTATATGACAATAATGGTACAGCCTATGAGAAATTTGGTTAGGTAAATTGGTAATAATTCTCAAGTTATTTTTTCCTAATATTTAACATTTCTAAAAAGAATTTTTACAGATGAATCTAGACTACTGATAGGGCGAAGCTCTAGGAGGGGGCTTTTTGATGATACGTCTGCTGAAGCGCTTGTGGCAAGTTTAATACAATCTCTGCATATGCTGGAATGCAAATAAAATATATAATCAGATTTATTCAGAACAATCAGTAGAGCAATAAAGAAATACATATTACAATTAATGGAACACGGAAGCAGACTGTTTTAAATTTCAGAATTCAAATTCATAGGTGTGAAAGCTTCACAGCTGCACATCCCATTAGGAAAAGATTATAGACCAACAGCCGATGACAAAAAAAAAACTAAAAGATTATGTTTTTATAAATTAACTGTCAATTGTGTGTCCATGAGTACATAGTATGAAAACATTAAATACAACCTATTAAATATTTTGAATTACTTAAAAATGCCAAGTGAATGACGTGTGTTTTCAATATAATAAATACATAATTTTCTAATAAAAAATTTCATTTTAAAATTGTTATCATGTGCTCATGCACAATAGAAAACCCCATTAAGCAAAGTAATATAGTTTGTACCTTCGGGTAAACTCATGGTTCGCAAGGCATCTTCTGCATAGGTTAAGCGAAATGGAGAAGAATGACTTCCTGAGAGTCCATCGTCCTTTCTGTTCAAAGTTGCTGTAGTATTTTTATTGAACATCGGCCAGGCTAGAACTGAAATTCGAGTCGGAAGCACCGAAATGAGATCTGCATATCGAAGGCTGACTGTCACCTTGCTGCAAACAAAAGACTCATTGAGCACGGAATATCTTTTATCCTTTCATTTTATTACATGTATATTCAATTTCATTGGAGGAAAGGATAGAAGATAAAAAATGTTTAATAATAAATTTCTGATGCACATACAAAGAAATGCTAATAAATTTAAAAAATAAACAAATGAACTTTCATAATTAAGGTGCAAACAAATCAAAATCGTATAAACTGTGACCCTTCCTTTCATATAAAACACTTCTCCCAGCACCTTGACCAAAATTTTCGGCATAACTTAAAGTTGACAGAAGGAAACTATAGATGGAGAAAGATAATTGATGGGAGCGTATCTGTAATTTCAGTGTCAAGGTCAACCAAAATGTATTATTAACTACAGTGTAAAATAACCGGTATTTCTTTTAGCATCGAAAGCTGCAGCACACCTAACTTCACCCTAGTCACTTTTTCCTTTTAGCATCAAATCACAAATTAGAATGTCCAGAAAAAAAAATAGATAGAGATAAAAACACAGCACCACCCAGTATCACTTGCTTTACTAACGATTTCACCTTAACAAACATTTTATTTGATTATTCAAGAAAACTGATAACATGCATTTACTATTGATTGCAGTAGAGAGGAAAAAAATTAAAGGGCAACCAAGATGCTAAATTTGAAGAAAAATGGTTGAGAAAAATAAGAACACTATAAGATACTAACCAATCAAAATCATCCAATACAAATTCAATCATATGGTAGGGTAGGCTATGATACAGCTGTCGAATTTGATTTCCATAGAGTTCCTTTATAAGACGGACCTGCATGTACTCGCAACAGACAAAAAAGACACATGTTTTTTGTATCAGAATAATTTGCAAAAAGATTGATGAAATTTATATTTGCAAGGTAAATCAGCCATAAGCCAACCTTATGTTTTGCACATACATAGTAATGGTGAAGGTTTAAACCAAATGCTAATAAATGGTTTCTGGAAATATGGATACAAAATACTCAGAAAGTGTTTGCTTTGCATGATTGCTCAAGTGTAAAACTTTGCTCCATAAGTAACAGCAAATACATGTGAATAGTGAAAACAAGATGTTATTCCAAAAAATAAACACATCAAACTTTCTCATGGGCAGTCTACCTGTTCCCGTCTATCCACAAAAGCCTGCAACAGATCTCCAACGTGATCTATGAATTTCTGAAAGCAAGCCAATAAAACAATGCTTATTAGAAAGAAAAAAATTGAAATGAACATGGTGTAAAGGCAATATATAATATATAAAAGACTTTACCATTGCATTGGATGAAAGAAGGTCATTTTCTATTTCACGTATAGGCAGGAAAAATGGAACTGTGTGTTCAAGGACAGTCATCTTTTTAAGAAATGACTTGCTCTCCAGCACACAATGGTAAAACTCACAGGGTTCACCTGGAAATTAACAAACAGGCTTTATCATTTATCATCGTCTAATGGCAAAGGCAAACACAAAAGGGAAAGGGCAAATAGAAAAAGGCCCACCCTCCATCTTATAATTTATAATGTCATCTTATGAGTTAAATTATCATAGTTTTTGTGAAAGAGTTCAGAAATTTGGTTCCAAATTACCAGCAAAAGATGTCTCATATTGTACACCAATTCTTGCCCCTTCCAAACAGCAAATTACCTGCTTACAATACACAATCAAATTTAAAAAGACTATAAGGTTATGAAGTTATCACACAATAAAAATAATCTTTTGCAAAGTTATGTACACCTAAGCATGCAAAAGGCTCTTAATATTTTTTGGAGGGGAGATTAAAATATTGTTAAGAACACAAAATGAGGAAGTATATTAGTGGAAAGATAAAAAGGGGAGTCAAGTTATGAGTTTTATGACAAGAAACATGAAAAAATATAGAATGTAGTAAGGCTGCCAACCACTCTACACATCAGAAAGGCAATTTCCTTGAAAAAGCCATGAGCATAATACCACAGAGGAGCCATAAATATAATCCAATCCCATAACAAGTTAAAAGAGACACATAAAAATGAAAGTGTTCTGTTCCATCCACTGTCACCAGTCACCACAATTGCAGAAATCAGAACTAATAGTTTCTAACTAATACAAACACTTCCTAGCACTACATTACAACACTTTTTTCAGCAAATAGAAAAGAGAAACTGGAGCTCCCACTAAGTACTTCTAATTTCAAAACAATCTTTGTACATCAATGTCAAATACAAGAACCTGCGATCCAATCAATCCATACAAGACAATTCCCCCATTAATTTCAAAAGTCTTTGGCAAGTCTATAGTATACATCTGTAAACCCTTGAGTAGGCATTTTATAATTTTAGTATCACAGCATCTAATATTAAGGATCAATATCCACATAAAATACACCACCAACTCCTCTTAGACTTGAACACTTCATAAATTTTCCAGTTCTCCACCCTTACACAACTGAAATATACATGACCAACTTGTAATCTTTTACCTTGCCTGATTTGCCTATTTTTCGTCAATAATTTTGTAAATCTATGCTCAAGTAGTAAAAGTATAATATGTGTTTAGTTTTTACTGAAAATTAACAAGTCATTTGCAATGAGAAGTGTTTCAGGCAGCCGTCATCATATAACATTTACCTTGTTTCCAATTTTATATGTAATTTTTTCTTGAGGACATGCTAATATGTCAGCACCCCCATGCATTGCTTTTCTGTCTGCCTCCATATGCACCTTACAGTAACAAAATTTAAAGTATCAATCATTATTACCAACACCAACAGTGAAACTGATACAAATTGATATTTACATAGACCACCAATGTCAAATAGCAGAACACCAAGTGAAATAAGGTAACAATCAAAAAACCAATACCCGCTCTCTTATTGTAGCTAGTAGACCATCATTCCACTCTTCCCCATCTAAACGTATCTCTATAAAACAAAAAACAAAACAAGGTGATTAAGAAGCCTTTTCTGGACATGTATACAAAAATGAATGAACAATGTTGGTCAGTATTTCAGAAGTTACAAAAGTATATCTCATCAAGTGAACCAAGATTCACATCTTAATAATCTTACCTTGTTAAAAACTTAAAATGCTTTAGATTATACAATGTTCCTTTTCTGTTCAATTCCCTTTTCTTATTTCATGCATAAATAGCCCTAATATTTATTCTATACAATGAGCAATGATCAGCAGCAGTAAGATCTTTTGTTTTATTTGAGTGCAGTTCAATTGTGAACATGTTGATATTTAAACAGTATCATTTCAACCAATAGATGGCTAACACTCAAAGATCAACTTATGTTTAAGTTGGGCTAAGCTACAAGGCACTGAAAAATCTTATTATGCTATTTAAATTCAATGTTTTATTGATTATCCTGAATCAAACCATCCCAACCAGTGATTTATCCCCTCTGGCACACAGGCTTGCCATACACATATATGATACAGGTAATAACACTCTGTTCCTCCAAAGGAAGTTGATGAATTTAACTCTCAATCAAGAAACATGACATTAAAGTCAACCTTTTGTGTAGACACAGTGAGAACACTGTTGATGGAGCCTCAAATTTGAACACTAGATTAATGTCACAATCTATGATTCGATTGAGGGATTAAATTGATGCTACTTTCTATGATAGAAGGACTAAATTAACATCAAATTTATTTGGAGGACCAAATTGATACCACTTTCTATGACTGAGTGGATAAATTAAGGACAACATTCTTCAGAAGAACAATTTGATGTCACATCACTTGCATTCTCGGGTAAAATAGATAGTCTATAAGATAGACTATGATACTGTGATAATGAAAACACCAACAAAGCACTACATAAGGCTAAAAACAAGCTTAATCAAGTGAAACATCAATGCAATAGTATTAGACTATTACTACAAGTAACAACAAAAGCCAGTAAAATATTAATCAAAAAAGTGTGACATCATGCTCGATGTAATCCCAAGAGATAGCTGAGCTATATTAACCAAATATATATATATATATATTGGTGTCTCTTGGTGTAGGATACTCGGGTGATAAGTCGTTAGATGTCACATGATAAAAGGTGCGAAGAAATGTGAACCAAGACGTGCGCTTAGGCAATGAGCCCTGCCACATGATAAAAGATGAGCCCTGCCACATGATAAAAGATGCGAAGAAATGTGAACCAAGACGTGCGCTTAGGCAATGAGCCCTGCCGATCCACCTTACTTAAGTTCAACATGAGCATCATCAGAAGAGATATTACTCTCTCTAAAAAGAAAAGAGACTTGCACGGTTGAGGTATCCAAAAGTACAGTTTGAGATCGATTGAAATTTATGGGGCATTGTTTTTTGTTCTACCCATAAGGGGGTATGCTCATAAGGGGCTTCTTGAATAAGGTAATTTTTAAGCAATTTGTCAAAAAATGTAAAATAAAATAATAATAATAATAATAAATACTAGTTAAGAGTAGTTATTGTTACGTGTGTTCTACTTGGTGTATAGGTGAAACTAGTGTTTTAAAATCCGGATTGGACTAATCGGTCGAACCAGTTGAATTGAGAATCAGTGGTATAGTTTATTTGAGCCTTAAGTTGGATCGATTATGCATTTGACCCGTTTTAAATCGAAGTGAATCTTGGTGTAGGATACTCGGGTGATAAGTCGTTAGATGTCACATGATAAAAGGTGCGAAGAAATGTGAACCAAGACGTGCGCTTAGGCAATGAGCCCTGCCACATGATAAAAGATGAGCCCTGCCACATGATAAAAGATGCGAAGAAATGTGAACCAAGACGTGCGCTTAGGCAATGAGCCCTGCCGATCCACCTTACTTAAGTTCAACATGAGCATCATCAGAAGAGATATTACTCTCTCTAAAAAGAAAAGAGACTTGCACGGTTGAGGTATCCAAAAGTACAGTTTGAGATCGATTGAAATTTATGGGGCATTGTTTTTTGTTCTACCCATAAGGGGGTATGCTCATAAGGGGCTTCTTGAATAAGGTAATTTTTAAGCAATTTGTCAAAAAATGTAAAATAAAATAATAATAATAATAATAAATACTAGTTAAGAGTAGTTATTGTTACGTGTGTTCTACTTGGTGTATAGGTGAAACTAGTGTTTTAAAATCCGGATTGGACTAATCGGTCGAACCAGTTGAATTGAGAATCAGTGGTATAGTTTATTTGAGCCTTAAGTTGGATCGATTATGCATTTGACCCGTTTTAAATCGAAGTGAACCGATCAATTTTTCAATACGACTAGTAAATCAGTGGATCAAATTGGTTCAACTACAAATTTTTTTTAAGGAACCACAAAAGTAACAATGAGAATTGAATCTTGTTAATGAAAGACGAAAAATTCTTATTAAATATAACAATGACTACTTGTTTTAATATATTTATTTGTAATATATGCAACTTAAACAATTTTTATAATATATTATTAATTTTAAATTATATATTCAATAATATAATATTTATGTAGATATTACATATATTATTTTGTGATATTAATTACAAGTATTATATATGTACATATTATTTATATTTTTAATTTATATTAATATATAATTTAATATGTAATTTTTTTAATGTATTTCTTTATACAAAATAAAAATAAAAATAATTTTAAATAAGATAAAAATTAAAATTTAATGGTTCAGAATTTTCACTTTGTGATTGTTCCTGGTCCAGGCTGGGAAACCTCTGTAAACATGTCATCAAGGTGGCCACTTTCTGCAGAAGCCGACAGGTTGCAAGACCATCATTGTCTGCTCAAGTTTATAAACAGGCTTTGCTGACTCTTCTTCATAATCCTCCTGATGATCCTTTAGTTCTGGATCATACAATTCTACATGTGACCCGTTTGCAACAAGACATTAAAGCCTTGGAAGAATTGTCCAACAGTGGATTGCTCCAGCCTATAGCTCCTGATTTGAGTTCTCCAATGACTGAAAATCCTCTTCCTTTTCAGCGCATCCAGTGAGTGACCCATTTTGAGAATAGATTAACTATGTTCAAGTTAAATCACATTTTCGTGCTTATCAACTTGAGGGTATGTTGTGATCCTTGAACGATCAACTTGCAAGGAAAGGATAAAAAGGGATATAACCGTGCTTTCAACGAGGTTCCATAACTATTTGGTCCATGAAACCACAACACTCTTTGCAGAAGTTACAGTCTTGAAGTGCTACTTATGGTCCGAACATTTATTTGTATGTCGTTGTTCTTATCTTTATTTCCTTTTATTTTTGTTTCTCTTTGGGGTGGGGGAGGGTGAGTAGGCAAGATTTGTGTTGTCGATAAAATTCATGTAGGAATGTTTGTGTTATCTTTTTTCCTCATGCACTGTTTCTTTCAGGTAAAGCATTCTTGACCTTCCAAATACAGTGTAGGTGGAGTTTGACCAATGGTTATCGGAAGTTTGAGGTAGCTTCTCTATAGAATTTTTTATGCTGTTATCTGGCAGGCATGACATACCATCAAATGCTTTTGCCACTTGTGTAGGATGAAGATGAACTCCAGGGAGCCAAAAGAAATGAGAAGGGAAGGAACAACCCAGTCTAGGTTATGTTGAGGTTCATAAATGCATTGAGACTTTAAGGTGTTTTGCAGATCAAACCACCACGCAGTCAGTGTAAGCAAATATTTCTCACATCTAATATAACAAATTTATCTTATTGCTTTGCTTTATATTCACTATACCTAATATCATGTAGTAAATGTTTCCTTGCTGGTGTTCCTTTCAACTAACCTGAGCTGCTGTGATTGTGAGTTTGATCCGTTGTTTTTGAATCAGCATGCCTTGATGAAGGCAGTTACAGGAATTCAAGTTATTCATGCTTGATGAAGGGGCTTCATTCTATAACTAGATGCATTTCCCAATTCCCATTAAGCTTGAAGTTGCTTTGAAATCTGCCTAGTTGTCTTATCTTTCAAGAGATCTTTCTTTGTATTTTGTGCTGAAAACGCCAATTATGTGGTGGTTTCATGGCATCTGCATTTTCAACTTGTGCACTAGAGCGATGTGAACCGATAGTTGAATAGGCATTTTCATTAAATTTCATATTTGATTCACACCATGTAATATTTTTGGATTTGATATGTCTCAATTGATTCAATGATTTGCAGGTCGTGATCATTGGAAGAGATATTCATTTGATATGGTGTCTCTTGGTGTAGGATACTCGGGTGATAAGTCGTTAGATGTCACATGATAAAAGGTGCGAAGAAATGTGAACCAAGACGTGCGCTTAGGCAATGAGCCCTGCCACATGATAAAAGATGAGCCCTGCCACATGATAAAAGATGCGAAGAAATGTGAACCAAGACGTGCGCTTAGGCAATGAGCCCTGCCACATGATAAAAGATGAGCCCTGCCACATGATAAAAGATGCAGAGATCTGTCACTGACCCAGCTGAATTACAAGTTACATTCATCTAAGGTTGCTCGGAAAGGAAACAAATTATCATTTCACAGCAAAATCTTGCATATGATTAGCATCTGCATCTACTATATCACTTTATTATCAATCTAATCATATGTCATAACTAAAATTAGTGTGTTCAACACTTTAAAACAAAAACAGTTGTGCATCCATATGAAAAGTGAAAACAATATAAATTGAAAGGTGTATAATAAATAAAATAAAATAAATAAATGGAAAGGGGGAAAAAGGAACAGTTGACAAAGGTAAAGAATTGTATCAGCTAGACTAAAGTCCAACAAAGGAAATAAATGGAAAAGAAATTTGAGACAAGGCAGAGATGTACTGTTCACTATTAAATTATTAAAAAATTCATTTATCCAGACCAAAGTCAAAGCTACCTTCAGTTTGAGAAGCTCGTGCAGATTCAAACTCTTTCTGTAGACGCTCAAATATTATCTTGTCAGAATCCCTATGAACCAGTAAATATTCAGAAAAAAAAAATGGTTACTAAAGCATACAGAAGTAATGGACATTATGAAACAATAATAATAAAAGTTGGCATTCATAGAATGCATCATGGTAGTAAGTATCGCACGGTTCGCGATTCGTATCGTACGATACGATACGATTCCGAGGCTCCGCGATTCGAATCGCATGTTGACTCGTTTTTGATCACAAATTGTGTTCGATTCTGGATGTAGCGGGTCACCCCCGAAACCAGGTCGGGTCATGCATGACCTGGTTTTAAAAACCCTAAAAAAAAAAAAAAACGAAAGTGAGACAGAAAGTGCCGTTTATACTCCCTGTACATGACCCACTTAGTGGGTTTCACTTTTTGTGGTCCATTTGCGTTGTTCAACTTCTCTGCTTCGTTTGGGTTGTTGTTCATCGTGGTCCAAGGTAAGGGCTTCCCTTCTTGTTGTGTGGTCCATTCCTTCACTTGTTCTCTCTTTTTTTCTTTGTTATTCCCTCTACAACTTCCCTCTCTTGCTGCTGTCTAAGTTTCTATTTATTGGTAGTTGGTAGGCCATTAAAAAATGGGTCATTCAAAAAGAGAGCCCGATATCACTTGGAACTATTGTGATAGTATCCCTCCAAATAGACTCAAAGTAAAATGTAAGTTCTGTTCTCATGTTTGTTGGGGTGGTATTTCAAGGATGAAACATCATCTTGCTGGAACAAAGGAAAATGTGATTGCTTGCACAAGTGTTCCGGATGATGTGAAGGAAATATTTGTCAAGCTCTTGGAAACTAAAGGTAAAAAGAAAGAGGATTGCTTGAATATAGAGAATGGGACAGTAAAAGGAAAAGAGGGAACATCTAAAATTTTCCAACAAAAGACAATGAATGAAGTTTGTAAAGATAGGGAATTTGTGATTCAAGAAATTTGTAAATGCATTTATGGTAATGCATTACCATTTAATTTGGTAAGGAGTCCTCTTTTTATTCAAATGTTGAAGGTTGTTGGAGAATATGGGAGAGGTTTGAAGCCACCAACTTATCATGAGGTGAGGGTTTCTTTTTTGAAGAAAGTTGTTGACAACATCCAAAAAAGCTTAGAGAAATATAGAAGTGATTGGGAGAAATGGGGATGCACCTTGATGTGTGATGGTTGGACGGATGGGAAAGGAAGATCACTCACTAATTTTCTTGTTAACAGTCCAAGTGGGACTGTTTTTTTGAAATCTATTGATACTAGTGATGTGATAAAGGATGGGAAAAAAATGTTTGAATTGTTAGACAACATTGTTGAAGAAATTGGGGAGGAGCATGTAGTCCAAGTTGTGACGGATGGGGCTTCTAATCTTGTGGCTGCTGGACAAATGTTAATGGAGAAGAGAACCAAACTATTTTGGTCCCCATGTGCAGCCCATTGCCTTGATCTAATCCTTGAGGACATTGGAGAGCTTCCGGTATTCTATAATACCATTGCTAATGCAAAGAAGATTACTACCTACATATATAGGCATACATGGGTCCTTAATTTGTATAGACAATATTCCAATGGAGGGGAATTAGCAAGACCAGCTGTGACAAGATTTGCAACTTCTTATCTTACACTAAATTGCATTAAACAACAAAAGAATGCTCTTAGATCAATGTTTGCATCGGAGGAATGGGCTACTAGTCCACATGCTAGTAAAAGTGAGGCTAAGCAAGTCATGAACCTAGTGTTGAGTGATGATAGATTTTGGAGATCAATTACATATTGTCTAAAGTGCGTGATTCCACTTGTGAAAGTGTTAAGGCTTGTAGATGGTGATTCAAAGCCAGCCTCACCATACATTTATGAAGCAATGGATAGGGCTAAAGAGAAAATTGCTCAAAACTTTCAAATGCAAGAGTCAAGGTATAAAAAAGTGTGGAAGATTATTGACACTAGGTGGAATCTGCAGCTTCATAGGCCTCTTCATGCAGCTGCCTATTATCTCAATCCTAGGTAAATTATTTAAAAATAATTATCATTTTAAGAACTACTATTTTCTTTGTGCCTAGTAGCTAAGTTATTTCTTATTTGGTTAGGTATCATTATGACAAGAACTTCAATCCGGATAGTGAAGTGTTAATTGGTTTATATGAAACCTTTCAAAGAATGGTTCCGGATATAAGGACAAGAGTTATAATAGATCAACAACTTGAAAAGTTTAAGGGAGCTAAGGAGATCTTTGGAATGGACATGGCAATAGCTACTAGAGATAAGAAACAACCGGGTATCCCTTTAATTTTTACTCTTTATTAATATCATAAACATAATACATAATAATTAATAACTACATTTGTAAAATAAATACATTTTTTTTTGTAGCTCTTTGGTGGGAGAGTTACGGTGGAAGAGGTAAAGAGTTACAAAAGGTGGCCATGAGAATTTTGAGTCTTACATGTAGTGCCACGGGATGTGAGAGAAATTGGAGTACATTTGACCAAGTGCATACTAAGAGAAGAAATCGATTGGAGCAACAAAGATTAAATGCACTTGTATATGTCAAATATAATCTTCAACTTGAGATGAGGCAAAATAGTAGAGAAGAGAATGGAGATACCTATGATCCCATATGTTTGTCAGATATTGAATCCGATGATGAATGGATCACCGAAAAGGAGAATCCTTGCTTGCCTATTGATGCCTCATGGATGGATGTACATGAGTGCTTTGGTGTTGATGAGGGAGCTCCAAAGAAGAAAAGAAAGAGAGGTAATTATTTATATTTAAAAGTTAGTTTAGAACTTGGAAGTTGGAATTAGAACTAGACCTTATTATTTTCTTATTTCTTTTGATTACATAGGTCCAAGAAACTTGAATGCCAAGATTGGTAAGGGAAAATCAATAATAGAAGATGAGGATGAAATTGAAGATAATGAAGAAGAAGAACTTTTGATATTAGAAGATGAAGATGACTTGAGTGATGTAGATCTTGGGGTTGGGGATGATGAATGATCTTGGATAGGGGCATTTTGTATAGATTTTTTGAGGC